AGGCGTTTTTAGACGAAAAAAACGACCATGTATAAAGGCGCTTTTAGACAAAAAAAAACGACCATGTATAGTAAGGCGTTTTAACCCGAAAAAAAAGCGACCATGTATCGTAAGGCGTTTTAAACGAACAAAAAACGACCATGTATAGTAAGGCGTATTTAGACGAAAAAAACGACCATGTATAGTAAGGCATTTTTAGCCGAAAAAAACGACCATGTATAGGAAGGCGTTTTTAGCCGAAAAAAACGACCATGGAAAGTAAGGCGTTTTTAGATGGAAAAAACGACCATGTATATATATAGTAAGGCCTTTTTCCACGAAAAAAACGACCATGGAAAGTAAGGTGTTTTTAGCCAAAATAAACGACCATGTATAAAGGTGCTTTTAGACAAAAAAAAACGACCCTGTATAGTAAGGCGTTTTAACCCGAAAATAAACGACCATGTATAGTAAGGCGTTTTAAACGAACAAAAAACGACCATGTATAGTAAGGCGTTTTTGGCCGAAAAAAACGACCATGTATAGTAAGGCGTTTTTAGCCCAAAAAAACGACCAAGTATGGTCAGCCGTTTTAACCCGAAAAAAATTACCATGTAAAGTAAGGCGTTTTTAGACTAAAAAAACGACCATGTATAGAAATGCGTTTTTAGACTAAAAAACGACCATGTATAGTAAGGCGTTTTTAGCTGAAAAAAAAACGACAATATATAGAAAGGCGTTTTTCGACGAAAAAAATGATCATGTATAGGAAGGCGTTTTTAGACGACAAAAACCACCATGTATAGTAAGGCGGTTTTCGACGAAAAAAACGACCATGTATAGTAAGGCGTTTTTAGCCGAAAAAACGACCATGTATACTAAGGCGTTTTTAGCCGAAAAAACGACCATGTATAGTAAGGCGTTTTTAGCCGAAAAAAACGACCATGTACAGTAAGGCATTTTTTGCCGAAAAAAACGACAATATATAGAAAGGCGTTTTTCGACGAAAAAAACGATCATGTATCGGAAGGCGTTTTTAGACGACAAAAACCACCATGTATAGTAAGGCGTTTTTCGACGAAATAAACGACCATGTATAGTAAGAGAGAGAGAGAGAGAAGGAAAATGACAGAGCCGGCTCTCAAGGGAGGGTGCCGGCTCTCATCCTTCACTTCAAAGAGCCGGCTCTTTGTACCGGCTCATTTGCGACCGACACATCACTAGCTCGAGGCTCTGTCCTCTGTAGATGGATGACCCTCCTCCACGACACCCGCTTTCTTACAGTGACAGGCCCAGCAAAGCAGCTCAAAATGCTCAGCAGATGTACGCATTGCATACTGCCACATCTGCAACGTGAAGAACGGCAAAGCAAAGAAGATTAAGTCCACTTCAAATCGACAATTCTTCAGTTTAGCACTTGGCGGCCTTCAGCACCGTTAAGTCCTCAGGAGGAATGTTATGTGTCATTTATAATTCCAAACACCGTATTTTCAATCAATCAATGCACTTGTTACTTTTTTTTTATTTTTCTTCCTAGAAATAAACATTTGCTTATTTTTCTAACGGGCTCAAGAAACCCGTTTGCCTTGGCGGCCATTTCCCAAGAATAGAATAAAATTATATATGCATTAAAAATTGTTATTGAAAAAAATGTTATGGGATTGGCTGCAAAGGTTACATTTTAAAAAATGACTCAATTAAATGACACACATAAAACAGCGTTTGAGGATGTAGCACACTGTTAATTTGGCGTGAACCTAATGCCCAGATACTACTTGAGTGGTTTACGACCGCCTACAACAAAAAATAAAATAAAATGATAAATTAAATCAAATTTAGGACAAATGATGAGCTGATATCAATGGTGAGGCTGATGTTGCTAAATTATATCTTTTTCAAATCATAAAAGAAAGTGAAAATAATAATTTTTAAAAATGGGTTTGGAGCTATTGCGCCTCTGTTGCCTTGGTTTGAAGTTCCCAACATGAGGATGCATTTTCTATTACCGGGCTGATATAGCACATGAATGGTACATGGAGTGTCCTTATAGAGCGCTTTTATCGACATTATATGGTGCGCAATTTTTTTTTTTTTTATCTGAATTTTATAACCACTCTTAAAAATCAGGACCCAGATTGCTTTCAAACCTGAGGTCACACATTCTGACAGCTGAATTTCTCAGTAACTAAAATCATGTGTCGAAACCTTAATCACGCCTTTGAATCCTGACCGATTACGATTTACGTCTATGGGCCTCAGTGGCTTGCATCCTTAACTTTGGAAAAGGGAATCTTGAGACCAAATCCTGTGCTGGGATGTTCTCAAACCTGAAGTTTTGTAATCAATTGGAGTCCCTTCGCCATGCCTTTGAAACCTTAAATGCTCCTTTGAAACCCTGAGCGATAAGGAACCTTCGCTGTCTATGTGGCACAGTGGGTTGCACCCCACGTTTTCGTACATTGGGTTTTTTCAAGTTTTTAACTTCGTTTTGTAACCACTGTTAAAAATGGGAATACCGCTCAGAAGCCAAACTCACCTTTTAAACCTGACTTTGAAACTGACTTTTTTTTAAAACCAGAGGATCACACATTCTCATAATTGAATTATTATTTTTTAAATCTCCTTTTTAAAACCAAAGACCCTGCGTGGAAGCCAAACCCTGATTGATTGAAAGCTGGGTATTTCAATTAAATGTTTGGACACCCCCCTCTCCCAAAAAAAAAAAAAAAACTATTAAAAAAAAACAAACAAAAAATATTTTAATGGTGTTATCTTTTCAGTTCACAAGAGGTCAGCATTGCATCGCAGGCAGGCTGTTGCTCTCACTGCAATACCAACGTAAAATATTCACCCACAGAAGTCCTGAAGTATAATTCATCACCTCATTTGATGCCGGATCTGGCGCGACGACCATTTTTTTTTGTTTTGTTTTTATTTTTGGAGCGAGAGGGGGCGGGGGGTCATCCAACCATCGAGTGCTTGGATGCGCATTACGCTCGCGGCCAAAGGGAATTGGTGCAGTGTAAACAAACCGACTGCGGTAGAAACTAGTGGCACAACTATGAGCACTCGCTTTCAGATTCGTAAAGGATTTTTGGTGTAAAAATGTCCATTTAATCCGTCAGATGGACCTCGCAACTGACGGCTCCTTAACCACCACTTGAGTCCCGCGATGACCGACAAGACGGAGGCGGAGGACACCATCACCAACACCGCGTCCCGCAGCGCGCCCTCGCGGCTCGGCCGGCCGCCCGGCGAGCGCCTCCCTGGCCCGAAGACAAATGTGTGCTCCCGGTCCTACTTCGTGGTGGTCATGGTGTTCTTCCACGTCTACATTATCAATGTGATCGTCCTCCTCTTGTACGTGCACTACAGCAGCGGACAAGAGGACTCCAGGCCGGATTCTCCTCGCCACGCTCCGACTAGCGACAAGCAGAACGCACAGTCGCCGCGTCCGCCATCGAAGGCACCGTTGCCGCGTCACATTTTTCTCCCACGCATCGAGGGCATCCGAGTGAGTACTCCAGGGCTGTACTGCCGTGATGCGACACGAGTATTTACCATCACCACCCCATTATTGTCACTGCATCTCACAAACAATAATATAACAATAATACTTTCCGTTTAACTGGCAGGTGGGACATGTTCAGAAGCTGTCATTAGTACCTGGTAAAGTCCACGAAATGAGAACCTTGAGTCTGAAACCTCTGCTCTTTGGTAAGCACTGTTTCAAATCGCAAGAGCTGTGCCAACAAATTCAGTTTTCAGGGACACACACACACACAACAAAGCTTGACACTTTTATTCCTTCAACATTATTGTATATTTATTATTGTGGTTGTCGTTTGCAGAGGTGTAGAATTGAACTAAACTATGCTGGGAGCTGTTCTGATGTTTTGGTTATTTTATTCCCAAAACTTTATAAAGCCCAAATATATACTGTTTAAAAAAAAAAAAAAAAAAGCAATGGAGGCCAACCGTTCCTCTCAGAATAAAGCTTCTTTTGCACATCGGAAGAGATGTAGTCTTAATGGTCTCAAGATGAAGTTCAGATAAGTGCATCTGTTGGAGGAAGAGAAGCAGCAATGCATGAACAAATTGTCAAGTGGGTCAGGTGTCCTGGAGCAAAGACAGTCCAGTGCATCTTTAGTTAGATAATTCTGTACAGTGGACCCTTCAAAGCGGAGTGCTCTAAAAGTGGCACAATTTGAAGTTCCATTTTAATATTCTGGGAAAATCAAACATATTCAATATGTTTATGTGGCACCCTCTGATCAATAAAAAATTGGATTTTGCTGTTTAATTCATTTATTCCACAAATGCAATACTAATCGGAATCCCATGTTTGGACCGTTGGGGGCACATGGAACATATTTAAGTCAGGATTTATTTATTTTTTAAACTTCTTTATAAAGTCATAAAAAGCATGTTTGACTTTGGAGGTTTCGTAACAATCCACTGGTGCTTTTTCTTCATACCTCTTGAAGTTCACATTGTATTTATTAGCTCCATTTCCAGTTTTGCTAAATTAATCCATCTCCCCCTACTCCCCCAAACTGTATAAAATTGAAGATGGATTCTCAATTTAAGAGCTTAATAATTGGAAGACATAATTAAGTTTTTTTTTGTAGCTACAATTTTGTGTCATTGTGCAGAGATCCCTGGGTTCTTGTCAGAGGATGAGTGTCGTATTGTGATGCAGCTGGCACAGCTAAAGGGTCTAATGGAAAGCCAGTTGATGGTGCAGGACGGCCAGGAGGAGCTGGCCAAAGAGCTCAGTCTTAGCCCAGAGGAGATCTTCAATCTTCTCGACATCAACCAGGACGGACAGCTGCAGCTCCATGAGGTGTATGTCACTGTATGGATCGTGAATGCGACATCGCCTACAGAGTGTCTTCGTACAGCCTTGATAAACTCATCCTTTCTTTTGCCTTTTTCAGATACTGACTCACTCGCGAGTGAGGGATGGTATTTGGCTCACGCCTGAGAATTTGCAAGAGATCTACGTCGGGCTCAACGCAGACAAAGATGAGAATGGTAAGAAGTCACGCGGTAAATTTAATCTAATTTATCACGATGAGTAAATTCCATACAATTCACTGAAAGATAGGAATATTTGGCTTTCAGACGACATTTCTGGATGAACCTAAAATGCCCGATAACATTTACAGACAAACTTTATTTGACCTTTTCTAAACTTTTTAATGCATGTCCAGTTGTTCAATGTTTCAGTAGAGCTTTTGTACAACTTGCAGTTCTCTAAAGGCGCTGAACGGTACAATTCACAACAGGTGTTTTATTCGATCAATACATTTCCATTTGCCTTTCTGTGACTCTTCCAGTCTTTCTGTCGTAACCTGATGGTCATACCCTTTGCTCAGTGGCTACTTTCGACTGACACCAGGAAAAAGAGGCTGGAGTCAGAGCAGGTTTTGGTCATAAATAATTTATTTTTAAAAAACAGAGGAACAAATTTATGAGCATCTCTGGGGAGACTGAATCACAGCGAACAAAGCATCGACTTATTGTTGATGTCATTCGGTGCAATCCCTTTCCTCTGATTGGAGAATCCTGGATGGGCTGATTTCTAAAAGTGTCATAACACTGACCAAATTTGGCCGATCTGTTCAGAATGACTAATTGGCAGGCTGTGTGTGGGTCACTTGTTTTTTTTTTTCTTAAAAATCTGCATTTATCTATCACACTGTCACATTTCACTTAGTTGAATACTTTTTCACATTCAACTGAAATTTACTTGACTATGTTGGAATCTTATAACATAATTTGAAATCAAACATTTATATCGAAAAGCAAGTTGTACAAAATGTCCCTTTCAGCCTTGATATTGGATCTCATTACATTGCGCAAGCGTACCAAAATCTAAGGTGTGAATTTTATATACTGAAGGTCTGCTGAGTTTAGAAGAGTTCAGGCTCCTGAGTGTCGATGCCTTCCAGCGCTTTCTGCTGCAACGGGGGGTTAAAAGGAGCCAGCTGGTGAGGAACAGTCGGCACACTTGGCTATACCAGGGAAAAGGAGCCCATCAAGTCCTTCAAGATATTAAGACGAGGTGAGGAAGGAAACGCAGTCGAGCCTCGTTCTGTTGTGATTACACTGCAATGTCGATTTGTCACCAAATATTAGCCCCCAGCCCCCCACCCCCGCTCACATTCACACCTAGTTTAAGAAATAATTTCAGTGTTGATGCCCAAGGGTCACTCGTCTTACGCGTCTGCCATCAAAATTGGTGGACCTAAGTGAGCCGCTGCAGGTGGTCCGCTATGAGCAGGGCGGGCACTACCATGCCCATCACGACAGCGGGCCCTTCTACCCAGAAACCGCCTGTACTCACACGCGCCTCGCGGCTAACGCCTCCACCCCTTTCGAGACATCCTGCAGGTGAGGCCACTGGACTCGTGTCCATTCGTGTGATGTCCATGTGTCCTTTTTTTTTTTTTTGTATTCCATCGCAACAACTCCACGCGTGTGCTCAGCACTTGTCTGTGTGTTTGAACCATCCACATGTTTGTTATTTTAAAACCTGTGTTGCACACTCAGGTACATCACTGTTCTCTTCTACCTGAACTCTGTTGACGGGGGCGGGGAGACCGCATTCCCTGTGGCAGACAACAGGACCTTTGATGAAGTGGTGCGTAATGTCTGATGGTCTGCAAATGTGAACGCAGAATCCGGGTCAGAGGAAATCACGTGTCTTTCATGTCGGTGTTAGCTTGCTTGTTTGTCAGGGAATGTATGCGCCGAAGATTCGGGAAAAGTGTCACCAGGGCTTATTATGAGGGGCCGTCAGGATGAGAGCATTTCAGTAGTGCATGTGAGAGGCTTTCCATTGTGTGTTTGAGAGCCAATCCTAAATTCCGTCCCTGATGGCCCCTCAAAGTGAAGCATGTTTTGTTTGTTTTTCTTAAGTCTCTCATTCAGAATGATGTCGATCTCATGGACACCAGGAGGAATTGCGACAAGAGTAACCTAAGGGTGAAACCTACCAAAGGGAAAGCTGTTTTCTGGTACAACTACCTTTCTGATGGAAAAGGTACAGTGCCCCTTACTACCTTTGCAGCGGAATCCAAATTCAGCCAAAAAATACAAATCAGTAATTTTCCCTTTACAAATATAACAATGCTCCGTTTTGACACATTCACTGAAATATTCATTTACAACGTTGTCATTATTCATGTCGTAATTTGCAATGGTGTAGTCCCGGCGGCATTTATATTTTTCAGTATTTATGTTTTTCCTCCGCAGGATGGGTTGGAGAGCAGGATGAATATGCTCTGCACGGAGGCTGCGTGGTCACCCATGGCACTAAGTGGGTCGCCAATAAATGGATCAATATTGATCCAGATTACCAGCGTCAGGCTCGTTTCGAGCAGCTGGTGTCCCATCAGTCAGAGGATGAGGATGATGAAGATCTGACAGTGAATTCTGATATCCATCAGGAATTGTAGCTCAGAATCCAGCCCACAACACGTTTGGTGACCGCAAGCTGTATTCAGGGAATGAGGCCACGGTGGTTTTATGCAACTTGTAATGCACTTTTGTCAAACTTTGCTTGATATTGTTATCCTGTTATTTATTCATTTATTTATTTATACGAATTGACGGTGTAGAGTTAGACTTCCCGTTTTAGGAATGTTGCACTAAAAAGTCAACCAAAGGAGCTGTGAGATCCCTTTGCATGAATTAGCTTTAGCCTACATGTTTGCCGTTGCTATGAAATTGCACTTGACAGGGATTGCTAACAACAACATTTTAGACTAACTTATTGCTGCCAAGCACCAAAAAAATACAGTATGTAGGCACTCTGTACAACGCATGTTGCCTTGTCTTTGTTCCTTGAATCCTTTATTTTGGATTGTAACACACAAGGTAATGTTCATCTCTTCTCTCTTAGTCATTGTTTATTTCAATATAACTGCTTTATGTATTTCCCATGTGCAAAAAACTAAATAAATCAAGCCTGTGTGTCTTTTTTTTTTTTTTTACTGTCACACCATAATCACATACATCCATTGAGATTCCCAATATTAATCGACCACTAGAGTGAGTGAGTGAGTCACATCATTGAGTGCCGGAGCTGAAGCATTTGGCCCAGTCATGATGTACAACAACAATGACATCATTTTTGAAGACATTCTGAAATATTACACCAACCTAAATTTTGCCTCAAGAATCTATCACACTAAATATCTATGTTCAGTGAGTTCTTGGAAGGTCTCTCCCACCTTTGTTTCCAACCGGATGTCCTGATTGGCACCGGCTCCTAAAGCTTGGTGTAATTGTTCATAACCTAGAACGAAAGCTCATATGAGATCCATTGTTCCTGGAAACTGCAACAGGCCATCAAATGTCACTGCCCACAGAACAGAATTATAACCGGATCACACTTACCAATGATGACTCCTGTCCGCGATGGTCCAAGCAGTAGAGAACGGCATCGTGGACAGAGGCAAATAGATGTTTCTTTGTAATCGACCCGGAGAAGAAGTGGCCAAGCTCCAGCTGTTGGACCACAGAAGCTGAAGAGAAGAGCAGCAGTTGACAGCAGGTACAGTGGCTGTAGAATTGACATTGAAATGCCATTTCTGGCCTGTGTTGCACTTACCCTGACAACCTGCCAAGTAGACATCAATATCAATTTCACCGAAGTCTTGGAAAATCTGTCAACGGGTATTAGAACTGAATTAGTGATCAAGGGAGTCTGGATGGGTGAAAATACAAGATAGGGATGCAAGTATTGGGACAGCTGAGCAATTCTGCCAGTATATAAAAATGGAAGAAAAATAATTTGTTCATTCAATATACAATTAGGCTCACTAGTTGACACTTTCCAAAGGTGCTTGATGGGGTTGAGTCATGCTGCTAAAGATGGGCATGCGTTTCAAAACATACCGTATGTCCATAATAGTCGAACAGGGTCACTATCTGGCCTTGATTTACCATTTCTTAGTCTGACTTTCACTTTTATTTTCACACCTACGTTTTTCATGGTCTTCGCAGCCACTGTGTCGATGAAGTTGGCCGTGGAGAGGTCAAGAATGATGGAATGGATGTCCCAGGTCCATTTGCCGAGAGACCCGAGAGAGATGCGCTCCAGGTCACGACTTTGGGTGTCTTTGCTGCTGGAGCCCCGAGTGGTGGCGTCTCCATCCATCTGCTCAGACGTCCATGCAAAATCGGTGCCGTCTAGATTTCCTCCCTTCAAGTATTCCCATCGAAGCTGACCATCTCTAGTATTGGGTTTTACAAAGGCTGTGCTGTTTTTCCCTTCGGCTGAGTTTTCTTCATCCTTATCTGTGCCCTTCTTCATCATGCTTGTGTCTCTCCAGGTTTTGGCCCCTTTCTCCACACAGAACACTGCTGTCTGGTCAGCAAGCTCCTAAGGAGTAAGTAGAAAAATGCATTCTGTTTCACGTTTTGCGATTTATTTAATGAGTGTGTTATTTCATGTGCTGTAACTGTGACATAGAGTAAGTACGTTTAAACATTACCTCTTTCTTGGCTTGTCTTTGAGCCCATCTCTCTTCTCTCTTTTGTCTGCGTTTCTCCTTGGCATCCTCTCTCTTCTTGTAGATGATCATTTTCGTGATATCAAGTCCACTCTGAAAATGCAAGGAAGACAAAAAAAATAAAGACAGAAATGCTAGGAACACCAAATGCATGATGTTATTCCGCTAGGTTCGAACAAGTCAAGAGTAACGAAAAAAAGTGCCGACCTTTTCTTTCAGCGCCTCGAGGTATAGTTCGGCATTAGCAAAGTATACCGTAGCAGAAGAGCGGAATATTGTAATACCCGGGATTTCTCTTGCCTGCAAAACAGAAATATGAATGACATATTTCCATGCGGATACAGTGAGGCTTTCATTTTTTATTGGTATTTTTTTGTCCGTTCTACCTCTTCGTGAATCTCTATATCCACATACAGTTCTGAACCATCAACATTTCCAAGAAGAGAGTACGTTGGTCTAAAAAAAAAAAAAAAAAAAAAAAAAAACATACATTCAAAGGCCACAACATTAGCCACACCGACGTAATAAAATGAGAGCCAATCCAAGTTTTATATCCAAACTTCTGTCTTCAGAAAAATGAGAATGCAGAATTGACTCTGTCAGGGGAGCCATGATTAGATTATCCATGTGACTGTGTTGTAAGAATCAATTTTCAGAGTCTTACAGCTGGGTCCTGAAGATAACAGTAAGGAGTGCAAACATAATGGCAGCTGCAAGGCCCAGATCCAGATTGAAGAGCAGAGTGGACACCCACGTGACCAACCACAACACCTGAGTGACACAATCCAAAAGTCAGTACAAGATTCAACACCACAGTCATTTCTCCCCAACTGTTGTTGTCCCCTCACCAAATCAGTCTTGTCGCTCCGCCATAGAAGAACAATGTCTGAGTATTGTTTGAACATCCCCTTCAAGTTCACGAAGACAATACATGCCAGAACTGCCTAAAACACACGTCGGAAAAAAAATTCTGAAATCTGGTCATCAACTTTTCAAAACAGTGGATTAAAAGCAATTCGTAGTGTAGGAAACCTTTGGTAGTTCCTGGAAAAATGGACCAAGTTTCAGTATTGTCACCAAGACAATTATAGCCGATGCTATTCCAGCCATCTGCAAGCGCACAAGGAAATGTGAGATTTCTGTGCAAGATACAGAAAAAAAATCCAAATAGAAAGACTGCAACATCCTCTACAGACTTTGGAAGCTCTTTCTGTATACTTCTGTTTTCGGTTCATGTTAGTGAAAAGGCTCGTCCACCAGCGGGTTCGAGGATTGCTGCCACGACAGACACTGACTACCTTGCGCCCACAGCTCCAATCGGCCGCCTCAACAATGGAGGCACGAAACATGGTCCACTCGGACACGATGTCCCCTGGCTAACCCCTGCGATGTGGACAAAGTTCTGCCGGAGTTGGGAGTTGAAACTCTTTCTGACGGGGGATTCTGTCAGGCGTTCCCAGCAAACCTTTCACGATATGGCTCATAGAGGGGCTTGTCATGTTCATCGGGATTTTTTATTTTTTTTTTTTAACCAATTGCTTGTTGTTGTTTTTTTTTTCTTTTCGATTTTCAGCCACCTAAAGTTGTTTGATACGAAACGTTCGTTACGCTGAAGTTGGATAACAATAAGTTTGGACAAAATGCAACAGTATATTTCTGAAGAGGCTGTGGGAATGTTAGCTGGCCTATCTAAATTGAAACAAATGTCTCAGTGGTAGAGTGGTCACATCCCAACCCAAATGGTTGTGGGTTCGATCTCAACTTTTGTGACCATGTTGGAGTGCCCTAGAGCGAAATAAAAAGTGTAGCGCTGTGCGAGTGAGAGCCCATTTACCATTTTAAAGTTAAATCCCGTGTGTGCGAAGGTCAAGTTGGATTGCAGCTCGAAAACAAATGAACGCTATGATGGTACACCAAAGTCTGTGTTTCTACTAGTCAAAACTGACTTGTGTTTTTCCACCAGTGCTCTCCTGAATGAGACTCCGAGACATGGATGCACATACAGCGTAGGATTGGAAGAAAGCGCCGACTGTGTTGCTGAGACCCAGAGCCACCAGCTCCTGTTGCAGTGTGAAGTGCAAAGTCACAAAGAGACGGTGAGAGACAATTAAAAAAAAAAAAAAAAAAAAGAATTCATCAAACAACCGTTGAGAATCTGTTTCACCTGGTTGCTGTCCACTCTGTATCCATGTTTCAGTGCAAATGTTTTTCCGAGAGAAATTGATATGGCGTACGCTACAAGAGCCAGTGCGAAAGCATCTCCAATAACTTCACGAAAAATGCTCCCGTCTGGTACAATTGGAGAACTTAAACTGGGGAGCAGAAAAGGATAAGAAATCAAAGAGTCAGTTATGATCAAGAAGAGATCATGACCATAAAAAAAAACTGAAATAAAGATGCTTACCCACTCGGGATTTCTCCAACAACTTGAATCGTGTAATTTCTATTTAAGTGACCATAGTTTGATATCAGAGTTGCTGCTATAATCTGAAAACACAGATATGATTTTGATATTTATAATATCGCTCTGGGGAAAAAAAATGCACAGCACAATTCTTAAGCAAAACTCATTTAAACCCAGTGAATCATATTCTGAAAGAGGAGTTAATTATTAGTTTTCAAAAGATTTCTTTTTTTCTGCTGTCAAGTGCATAAATGTACAGGCCCTCATCTCTACCGCTGACTCTGCATATTTCCGTTGCCCTTTTAAGGCTGCACGATCAGAGTCAAACTAAACTGCTGATCTGCCCAGAAAGTGTGACCTTGTGTTAACTGACTGTGATGAGCTCCACTGGGATGGGAACTGGCAGCCTTGGGCTCAGGAAGGCGTTGATCTCCTTTGCCGCAATCAGCAACACCAGGGATACGAGACTGACGACGAGAGTGGGGAAATGCGACTGCGGCAGCAAGAGGAAAACATCCTTCAGAGTCTGATTATTAGAAAGGGAGGGGGTGTGAGAGAGAGAGAGAGAGAGAGAGAGAGAGAGAGAGAGAAAGAGAATGTTACGACAGATTAGAAGACAATTCACTGAGTAACACACAGGTTAATTAATTCTTATTTTATCATTGAAGTTGAATATACAGTATCATACAGGAGAAAGAAAAGCAGGTATGTACTTTTATTTTGAAAAGAAAAAAAAAAGATATTAAGTCCACATCAGATTCTGGTATAGTAATCCCTCGTTTATCGCGGTTAATGGGGCCCAAAACCACCGCGAGAAACGAAAATCCACGAAGTAGCGACCCCCGTATAGGTACATGTACATGTGTATGAGTATAAAAAAGATTTATACGGCCAAATTTAATGGTATACATGCATGTAGAAGTACATTTCGTCATAATTAACATTACTTAATGCTGTATACTAATAGATTTAAACATGTATAAATTAGGTTAGGTTAGTGTATGAATAACAAAATACAGTAAACATATACATGTAGTACTGTATATGTTGCTCTATGTGACTCGCTGTTGTTTTGCTGACTTTTGCTGCTTCTCCCGGACCGTTTGCGGACTTTTTGCAGACTTATTTTTTTTTTTATTTTTTTTTATTTTTTATGAATATGTTTGAAAAAATCCGCGATGCACTGAAGCCGCGATAAACGAACCGCGAAATAGCGAGGGATCACTGTACTTACATTTAAACACACATTTTTAAAAAATCCCAACACATATTATATTGAGAGAAAGCCAGAGCAATAGACAAATGTTGCACAAACCGTATGAAAAATAGGGTAACAATTGTGATAAACGTTTGAGTGGGAAATGGGGTCATCTCAAAGTCACCTTACGCCGATGTTGACTCATACCGTTTTCTTCACCATCACTCAAAGCAGGAAGCAGTTATAAAGGAAATGCAGAGTACCCAAGTACCTCTTACTTACATACACCAGCGACAGCGGCCCATTAAAGCGTGCTGGCGACACCCCAAAGACGTATTTCAGTTGCGCCACGACGGCATGGAGCGCAGCAGCCGTTGTGTATGCACGCACCAGAGGTTCAGACAAGTACGTTCCCACAAAACCAAATTTGATCAAACCCAGCACAACCTGAGCACAAAAATACAACATGGACAGTATGTGCAGTTAAGAGGTTTGACCCCAAAAAAGGGGAAACTGTCTATTCTGTTTTTCAGACCTGAATAAGTCCTCCCAGAACGGTGGTAGCAGCAGCCACCTGTACCCTGTATGAGTCTCGAGCAGCGATGTCCACCTCGGTTGTGACATTGGTCCCATTCACTTTCAGGAAATCAACATCTGGAGCAAGTCTCTCAGTCACACTGCCCACCATGATGCTAAGCACAGCAAATGTACCTGTAGAAAAAAAGAAAAAAAAAATGAGGCGCTATTTCAAGCTATTTCGACCATGATAGCCTGTTTTTCGACTCACCTATTGAAATATGGCGTGACGTTCCAAAAAAGAAGTAAATTAATGCTGGATAGAGAGAAGTGTACAGGCCAAACACAGGAGGAAGTGAGGCCAGTAATGCATACGCCATACCTGGGGTCAAATACGTGCTTTTTTAGCATTCAAATAAAGAACACAGCATGAGTCAAAAATGATCAATAGGAACGATTATCCAACCTTGTGGCAAGTGCATGATTCCAACACTAATGCCAGAGATGAGATCTGGCATGCCATAGTCCCGGACTGAGTATTTGGGCAGCCAATATAACGCAGGAAATGTCCTCAAAACACCATGTTTAAGTTTCGGGACTGTACACCTGCAATTTATATATTTTTTTCTTTGAGTGTACATTAGCTGATGAGGTGTCTCGGCATATTTGATAAACACATGACAATGAATTTAAGAGTACCTTAAAAAAAAAAAAAAAGTAAATTCATAAAATTATCTTACCGGATGGACTCTTTAAGATGGTTAATTAGAGATGGTTGAGCGTCAGTTTTTCTCTGCGCTAACTCTTCAAGTCTCTGCTCATTCAGTACTTCCCTTTCAATTCTATATTTCCGATATTTGTACATTGAGTCCATTTGGCCTTAAATGTGTGAAGCTGTCTTGGAGACGACACAAAACTCAAAAAAACAACACCAAAGGTCCTTTCCTTTATTACACCTAAACTGTCAGCGGTAAATCGGATACTGTGCTTCATCTTTATTTGTATGCGCACACCAGGCTGCCTAATGGTTAACCCTGGACAGGATGTTGTGGCAAGAACAGTGATTGGTCGGCTTGCTTTCACAGTGACATACCGTAATAAACAAAAGGATGTGATTATGTTTGTAAAGGAGAAAATATTAACTTAAGGGAAGTTTGAATGGAGCTTTTTTTGGCAACTGTGTACCGTTTTCCATTCGTAAGCAAAACTGAGGCTAATGAACCATGTGATGTAATCTTCAAGTTTCAACCACATTACATATTATATGCTTCTAAAGTTACAAAAATATTGTGAAAGGTCTGTTTGCGGACACACTGACGCATACAATGTACTGGGCCTTTAATAAAGTGCAAGCATGAAATTTGAGTCCCGGCTATGAGCTTTTCATGGCAGTCATTCCAGAGCAAAGTGCTTGCGACAGAGGCAAACAAACACCAAATTTGAACAGATGATTCTCAAACAAAAATGAAACAGATCACGCTCGAATTCAATTACAAAATGCCAGAGTACATGAAATAACCTCTTAAAATGCTAATCCGCTATGACCAAACAAAGTGACTTTCAAAAGATGTAGGCCACCAAAACAATGTCTATTTTGGGGTGAGTAGCTCAGAGGCCCTGGGGGGTGGGGGGCGGATGACATATCTTTACCTCCCACAGTGACTCAGACCTGCTCTCGAAGGATGGCAATAACACATGTTGTCCGATAAAAAAAAGATATATATATATTTATACGGTATGGATATATATTTAATGTTCTTCTGAGATGGCAGGCAACAAGGGAAGCTGATGAATTTGGTAAGGCTTTTATTCCTTCTCACATGCTAATCGAACAGTCCATGGAATGGACGTGCATGCTATCTAATCCGGTTTGAAATATCGTATCTGCCAAGTCAAAAATTTGAGTATTGTCATTCTGCTGGAATCGTATTATTATGAATCGTGAGAATGTCTTCCCAAAACTGACTCCTGGTTTAACCCTTTCAGGGACAGCGGTTACTACAGTGGACAGCTTGTCAGGTTATCAGGTTACAGGGTGCATGAAAGGGTTTATATACAACAATCAAGCTCCCAAACTACACCGTAAAAACTGATTCTAATATTACCACTCTCTTATCTGTTTCAGTGACAGCCCCTCCCCACCCCCTCGCTAGACACAGTATTTACATGCGCATGAATTTTTTCACATTTCAACCTTGAAGCAAAAAAAAAAATGGAGTTCACAGCCAAACATGGACAGGTTCTGCTCGAGCAGTTAAGGAAGATGAGGGAGACTGAGCACCTGACGGATGTGGTGCTGGTCGCTGAGGGCGTAAGCTTCCCCTGTCACCGCCTTGTCCTGTCCGCCTTCAGCCCCTATTTTCATGCTATGTTTACCTGTGGCCTCCGAGAGTGCAACGATCGAGAAATATTCTTGCGAGACACCCCTGCGGACAGCTTAGCTCTCCTCCTGAACTACATGTACAGCTCCGATCTCCCTCTCACCAACACCAACGTGCAAGGGATCTCGATTGCAGCGTTTCTCCTGCAGATGGATGATGTCTTCGCTCAATGTCAGCAGCACATGACTGAGAACATGGACGCCTCCAACTGCCTCGGCGTCTTTTACTTTGCCCGAGATCTCGGTGCGGCGGAACTTGCCGAACGTGCTCAGCGCTTCCTGAGGCAGCATTTTGTCCAGGTCTGCCAGAATGAAGAGGTTGTAGATCTCGAGGCCCATCAACTTGGAAAGTTGATCGGTTCGGACGACCTCAATATTTCAAGAGAAGAAACCATTTTAGACGTGGTTCTTCGCTGGGCCAAACACAATGTTTCGGTCGAAGGAGAAGTTCGTAGCAAGCACCTCCCTGAGCTCCTCAGGAAAGTTCGCCTACCCTTGATCAACCCAGACTATTTAAAAGAGACAATGAAGAGGAATACAGCTTTGCTGGCTGACTCTGAATGTCTAGAAATAATGAGGCACGCTTTGGACGTTGTCGAAATGCATCCCTCCGCTGCGCCGCGTAAACTCAAGTTGCGATATGGTATGGAAACCACAGACTTGCTACTCTGCGTCGGTAATGACGGCGGTGGCATTAGGTCGAGATACGGCAACTACAGCGAACGCAGCTTTTGTTACGCCCCCGCAACAGGTCGAACTTACTACATCACTTCGCCTCGATACGGAGAGGCCCTAGGGTATGTATGCGCAGGTGTCGTTACTGAAGACAATAACATTATAGTGTCAGGAGAGGCCGGTGCCCGCAGGATGTCCCGACAAAAGGAAATGGATGTCGAGCTCTACAGGTGAGAGGGATCATAGGTGCTGGAATACAATACGTCAGCAACAACGATTGGAGATTATTTCTTTTGATTTGACAGGTACAAAGTCAAAGCCCAGGGCAGTTGGGAGCACCTGACGTCAGCGGAGTACCGAGATTCTTACGGGCTAGGTTCCTTGGGTGATACCTTGTACCTGATTGGTGGGCTGATGAAGATGAAGAACCAGCTTCTCATCACTAACTGTGTGGAGCGATGGTCTCTCCAGGGAGGACCTTGGCGCAGTGCAGCACCTCTGCCGATGCCGCTGGCTTATCACAGTGTGGTCAGGATGAAAGATCGCCTGTATGTCATTGGTGGCAGAACTCCGCAGGTAAAAAAAAAAAAGAACATGCATGAGAGTCAAACTTGCCAGAAACAATATACATTTCAAACTTGCAGCAGACCCTCAGAAAGAAAGAATCTGATGCCAAAAAAGTTACTCATTGAAACACGTACAACACAGCTTTGTCCTTGCTAATATACTGTGCTACCAAAACATGACCGTTACAGCACTACCGTATTGAGAAGTTTTCTGAAGGCAAATCTTCAACCAGTTTAGGGACCCGGGATGCTGGCGTTTATCTCAGCTGAGTTCAGGGAAAACAAAACAACAACAACATACACCCTGGACAGGCAAGACCGTAGTCAAGTGGACCTTCATCGAGTCCAAGTCAAGTCCGAGTCACAAAGTTGCGAGTCCAAGTAAAGTCCAAGTTCAGATGAGATTAAGAGTGAATTTTAAGACGGAAAAATATTCTCATCATGACTACAAAATTAGAGCTATCTCCTTATGTTCAACTCTTTTTAAATTGCATGGAACTAAAAACCCTTTGCTGTATTAACTGTTTGTGCAGACAAACAACAAAAGCAATGATCTGTCTTTGTGATGCCTCTGCAAATCTCGAGCAAAGTTTGACGTGGTGCCCATAACTGTCCGAAATTGTCTTCTTTTAGAATCTGCAGGTTGTGTCAGGTTTGTTCATTTTGTTTGAAGACGTGACTAACCAAATTTTATAACACCGCTATTGGCTGACATGATTGTCAGGTTAACCAATCAGATGGGTATCATGATAATCTGAAAAAAAAAAATAGATTTCAAGTTTCTTTTGAAGGAGACATTAATTTTCAGGAATTAAAAACATAGTTGGACTCGGTTGAATCGATAAAAATAGTTTGCGAGTCCGGACTCAAGTAGTGCAGCCCTGTGGACTGGTGGCCAGTCAATCACAGGGCAGATATAGAGACAGACAAACATTCACATTCACACCATAATTGAGTGAGAACGGAACCCACACTGGTTGCACTGAAGTCAGGCGAGTGAAGCGCAACACCGTCGTCCTATTTCCACGATATGTTACGGAGAATGTTGGAAGTAATTGGAAGTGGAACAGCTTCCTGGATTGTGGTTGAACTCTGAGGATCTGCAATAACACGTTTTGTACTTTTCATAGATATGAGATTTGTATTAGGGCTCTGAATCTCCTGTTGTTTCATCATGCCCCCTCTCCCTTCTCTTGACCAAGCAGTCATACCGAATGGACGATGAGCCAGATCGCCTGAGCAACCGCCTTCTTGAGTATGATCCAAATCTAAATCAGTGGACGGAGCGGGGTCCAATGAAGTATTCAAAATACAGATGTAGTGCTGTTGTGCTCAACGGGGAAATTTTTGTCATGGGTAAGAATTAGGAGAGGACAGTGAAGCGGCATAACAAATGTAATGCTTCTCGGTCGATTCGGAAAGTGTGACGTTGCTTCTGTAGGAGGCATCGGATGTGAGGGTGTGGACCGAGGACAGTCAAGGCATTGTCTTGACGCCGTGGAGATCTACAACCCAGATGGGGATTATTGGAGGGACGGACCTTCTCTACCTTGCTCTCAACTGTCACTGCGCACTAACGCCACAAACGCTGGTGTGGTGGGAGGCAAGATTTATGTGTGCGGGTTCTACAAAGGAGCGGGTAAGATTACTTTCACTGTCCACATATGAGCTGTGTCCGAAAAGTACCAGGACTGGTGTCCCAAAAGATATATTTCAAATGTCAACGACTAAATGATGAGTTTTCCCCTTCACTGTGGCCCAGCTGATCAACCAGCTGGTCTACAAAGAGATCCTAAGGTGTATGCTTTATTCAGTGCGAGAGGAGAGACGACAGTTGTGACAGGACAACTCGTGGCTGCTTCACCATGACAACACGCCGAGAAGAACATCATCGTGCAAGAACAACTTCCCGACTAACTTGCCCCATGTGATTTTCATCACTTTCCTGAGATCAAGAAGGTCATCACGGGAACCTGTTCTAAATATGTGGATGACATCAAGATGCAAAATGATCCCGGAAGAATCCTTCCAGGAGTCCATGGCAGAGAAGGCGGGATTTCTTCAAAGGGGAAAACTTGTAATATGGGTTTGAACGATTTCTTTCATCCACCCGTCCTGGAACTTTTCTCAAACACTGCATGCTATATAGTAAAATGATGCACTGTATTTTAACATGACAGATTTTTTTTTCTGTTTTTGACTCTCAGATCGTCATGATGATATAACAAAAGACATCCTGGAACTCGATGCCTGGGAGAACCGATGGACGGTTGTTGCTCGGCGGGCTTTGATGCATGACAACTATGACGTTTGCTTAGTGGCAAGTCTGAATCCGAGGGGACTACTACCGCCACCTGCAGACCTATTGCAGTAAAGAATAAAAGGATGAAAGTCAGCTAGCTGAAGCTTGGTTGTGAATGAATCGGTAAGCCGTTTTGCTGCATCTTCAAAATTGTACTTAGTAGGAAATTAGACATAAATACGCCTGCATGAGAACTATGCACACTTCCTGCAGGATGGTGGATATGCTACAACTGAATATATGTATGATATATAGCCTTTTATCTTTTCTATTTCTACTGCTTAAGTTGTTCAGGGTGACAGGCGATCATAGCCGTGGCGATTTGAGGTGATTCCTCATCTTTTGTCAAACACCAAGGAATGCAGTGTCGTAAGAAATGTTGTTACAACTATTTTTGCAATAAACATGCACCTTTAGCTAGATCACCAGTTGCTTTTGCCATTATTGTTTCTTACATAATCGCAAACAAACTGAACTGAATCCCTTTGTTGAACATCTTGAAGAAGTGTTAATGTTGAATGAAAACTGTTGTTGAGATTCACCACAAACAAGAACACCAAGTCTAATTTGCTATCGACCATAACTTCTCGAACGAACATAAATCTGTGAGTGATGCTTTATTTTCAACTGACAAGCCAACAGTCCAAACACTGAATACGTTCAAATCAAATGTGAGCAGGCAAAGTAAACTTGTTACTTTTTTCTTAACAACGGGAAATTGAGAATAAACTATAATCATGACAAGGCTTGATAGAAAAGAATTTAGCATCAGGCACTACTTTACCCAACATTCTTATCCAGTCAAATAAATTACTTTAACCAAAGTGCTTTGTTTTGAAAAAATAATAGAGAATAATCATCAATGACCCATTGTTTCCAAAACGGTATTTCACACCTAATCCATTTCAAACAATTGCCAGAGAGCATCAGGAGGACTGGAGTCCAACACCACAATCTCTGGGGCAGGATTGACATTTTGGGGGTTTTCAGGGCTGCTACTCTCATGAGACCAGCAGCTGAGAGGTGTGATGAAACATCCTCCAGTTTTAGTAGGTCTGTTCTTTGTATTTGGTTGTAGTAAACTCTCGGGACCGCGACTGCTTACTTCGCTCAGGCCAGGAGACGCCCCGAGAGGGCGCGAAACATTTTGCCGTTTGCTACAGTCAATGTGAGGTTGACTGTTTTCATCCACGACAGTGAACTGAGATCTGTGGCGGACCAGAGGTCTTCTTGGTCTCCATCCGTACCTACTTGCAGGTTTCTTCTTTCTCTTCCTGATGACACAGTACGGAGCAGAAGCTTGCCCGTCTGGTGTATCCTGTGCCGTTTGAACCCCTTTGTCCTGTCCTGGTGACGTCTGCATGGCTTTGTCAGCTGCTTCAACAGGACAGAGCTTACCTGAGTGCACTGAAACTAAGGCATTGAGCAATTGCAAGGCCTCCCCGAGCATGGTTTCTTGCTTCAAAGTGGCTTTTTCTTGCTCCCGTCTCAGACAATCCACATCACGTTTCATTTTAGCGCCGAGTTCGACATTGCAGTCTCCATTCTGACGGCACCCAAACAGGGAACAATGATCAGCTCATGTGACGCATATGCCCTCACCATTGCGATGTAAACAAACAACATAGGAGTCACCTTTTGCACCCGTTCCCCCAATTCTGTCATCATTTCTTTTTGGGAGTTCACCGTGTTCAATAATGTTTGAAAGTGCTGTGAAATGTCGCTCTGGATACTGCTTACATTTTGCACTGAATGGATGAGAAGTATAGTTGAGTGAAAGGACAGAAACAATTTGATCTTAAAAGTAATGGCAAATTAGTGAGCAAAGGACCCCATCTGCTGGTCCAAAAAAAAAGTGTGTTTGCTTGTTGCCGCACACTAAAAAATTGGTTTCACGTTTCACTAGAAACTCTAAGACTACATACATACATGTTGAAGACAAATCGCTTAACTTTTGGAGGACGGTTTGGCATACAGATGTGTTTTCTTCTGTGTTTGCAATGAGTTGCTGGATCTGAAATATATTGTTTATTATTTCACAAGAAAAGTCAGCCAGGTGGAAATGATTGACTTACTTTGGTTAGGGTTTCGTGAATATGAAGGCATTCTTTTAAGAGCATATCACTGAAAACAAAAAGACATGACAAAAGATGAGGATTTCAATCATAATGATAAACTAAAGTCAAGCTCTGTGTTTCGAAAGATTTGTTTTATTTTGCTCCAAGAAATAAAGATGGGACACTACCTGTCACTTTTTTCTTTTGCTTTTTTCTTTTCCTCCTCAAATGCCTCCAAAAGTGTTTGGTTGTCCTTTGGGTCTCCAAACAAGAGAGGTTTGGACTGATAACGCGTTGAAATCTTTGGGTCACTACACTAAAAGAAAATTCAACTTAATATCAAATCCTGTTATTTTTCTCACTTTCATAATCATTTTTTTTTTTTAAAAAAAACAACAATGTTTTTTTTTAATTGCGCTTTATGCACATTCTTACCCTAAATAATAGTGTTAAACTCATGGTGCACTAGCTATCTACTAACAACTATCTACTGACTATCTGTCACTGTGATGCAGTGGTGATCATTCAGGCAAGCAAGGCTTCCGCGTAGAAGCACTGGCTTATATTTACAATATAAATTCCATTATTTAGTGAATGGAATTGTGTTACTTTATTCTGAACAGTTTTTTCTCTCCAGTGTGTCGTGTTTCTCGCGGGCTGCACTGCTTCCAGTACCTACATGTGAATGTTACATTTTTTTATTTTTTTGTTTATTTTGAGCCAGTCAGATGTCAAAAACCATATAAATTAAATCTACTCTGCCCAGTCAGTGTTGCAATTACTGGTGCTTGCTGATGTGTCTTTAATCTACACTGTATGAGAAATCAGACTGCTTCTTTAACCAACACCAGCCAGATTTCAAATTAAGCTCACAATAACTGTCAGCATTTTTCCATCCTCCAACTGGTTGGTCGAAGCAAAGGTTTTACGAGCAAAACGTATCTGCAGCAATCTGCGCACATGGTCGTTTTTATTAAATATATACTGATTCTGAGCTGCTCTAGATATTATACATTACATGGCTTAGTTCAGTGATATTATACTGCGTTTTTGTACGGTATTGATGGCTTCTGAAACTGTGATTTCATAGTGGTGGTGTTCAGGAAGTTAAGTCTGCTAAGCATCCATTGAAGGTCAAGGCACCAAATGCACTGCCCTGTACTGCCGTGATAACACAAAATCATCTCCTTGCGGTCAAACCATACAGTACTATGAGTGAACCAGCCCAGCCACCTCATTGTGAATTTGTCCATAGTTACTGAATTACCTTACCTCTTGTGAACTTTGCTGGGAGTTCCTGGATGACAAGGTCATATCCTGAGAAAGGCTTTGAGAATTTTCACGCCAAAACTGGGATCCAAAGAAAAACTGAGAATCTGTGAAGTTGGTGGCTGCATTTCTGTTGATTATACAATGATATTAAAGCCAGTTTAGAAAAGTTGTTGAAATACTGTACTGGTTAAGGAACTCGAGGTCATTTTAAGTCATCTCAAGTGAGTGAGTAAAAGGGTGTTTCCAACATGCACCGCTTGAAATGAATCAAGTTGATTGTACAAAAAGAATCAACAAAAATCAAGTAGGGAAGCTAGCTTTGTTTGTGTGAGCTTATTTTCACCTGCATCCCATTGACTGTGTGTTTAGCATTTCTTTTATGTTCGCCATGTGATTCATTGTTTCTGCTACACCTGAGGACAAAATATAGAAAATGTTTTAGGTTAAGCTATTCAATAAAACGTGTTAAGCATTCAGCGCTTTAGCTAAGCGTGGTGTTAGCATTACCTTAGTAAGAATTAAACAGTCCAGAGACTTTACAGGTAACACCATTAAGCATAGCACCGTCTAGTCGTGTTAACTCTCTCCCCTTGCTTACGTACTTGACTATAAAAAGTAAAACTGTCATAAAGATATTCAAATCTGCCGCCCAAAAAAACGTCACAGAGAGTGCGAAATGAGGTGCATTCAGGTGCTCCCGTCGGAGGGGAAAAGGGATTACGTGACCACTCATTCTCAGAGACGAAGTCATTTCAAGAGTTCGTTGTTATTAAAAAATATTTTTAATATGTTCAACCCGCTTTACAAAGAGGTAAAACATAGTACACCATCGTGACAGGAACAGTAAACAAAATTAAAATATTAATAAAACGCTGGGGTGGCAAAAGTACACACTTGGGTTAAAAATAAATACATACATTAACAATAATAATAATAATAATAATAAAAGGAAAGAATGAAAACAAAAGTCAAAATATATAGGCTAAAATACGAGTACCGTACTATGGTGTGTAACTAACTGTAGAACTTTTATTACGAAGGATCCCCGCGGATGTTGACAAATCAGTTCAAAAGCTGACTGCCTAGCTTTTATTGTGAAGGCGCCCCACGGATGTTGATTGAACACGATTGAAAGAGAGCATCCAAGGTGCTGCATTTAAAGCCAGACCTAACTACGGAGGTGTGTCGATGACAAACCTAACAACCTAAATCTTTCCGGACAGATGACGTCCGACGTCAACTAAATCAAGCCTGGAGTTCTGTCCAGGCCGGATTCTTCACTTTCGCTCGTAAGTGAACTTCTCCTCCTCGAATGTAGCCATCCGCAGCTGATCTGTGTGTGTTCTGTTACGATACAATACACAGGACATCGATAATAAGAGCTGTGGCTAAATAACGCCGTTGTTGTCTTTTAATTGAATTGACTTGAGACAGCGACGGTGGCACAGGTTGATCAACTAAAACGCGAGCTCAAACAGGGAGATGATCGAGTGCGTTATGTGCCCCTAGCCTCGTGTTTCCAAACCTTTATAGAGCCGGGGCACATATTTTACATTTGAAACATCTCTCGGCACACAACCAAACGAAAAACGTCGTAGAACTAGAATTATGATCACCTCGTCTAAATGATTTCAGAAATCGACTCACTTGATGTAAATTCTAGCCCTGTTCAGTCGAAAAATTCGCAGCCATGACTTCTGTTGTCTGAATGGCAACAGGTGTACACGCAGGTTATTTGTACCTTCTGCCACCTAGTGGGGAGGATTTTAACAATCCGCTTGTAACGACAGTCGTTGTACGTCGCAATATATCGTAGTGCACCTTTTGACTTCATTGACTCGCAGATTTTTTTTAAAAAATCGTTCCTATTATCGGAATGATTCACTTTATCGCAGTATTTTGCGTTGGTTATTTTTTTTCCACATGGGGTCTTACTGCAGTCTCACTTAGCAATCAACACGAGCCAGGTGGAAAGAGTGCATAAAAGATAGAATGTCCAAAGTTTGAGATCATTTCACACATAATAAAAGAAGCTGAAGTGCAGTGTGCCTACCGCAAAATACAACTGGCCTAAGTTACACAGCTCTATGTCAACGGTAAAGTATGTTCACTAATTTAATATTGCCTACCAGAAACACCCAAGTTAGAGTGCATTATCTTCCCTCCTAATAGAGGGAGGACAGTCGCGGATTCACCTTTAATCACTTTATTGAACAAATGGCAACAAAATACAGTCAACACAATCGTAGATGGCCTCAACTGAAGCCATCACTCAACACGCAGAGTGGCTATGGTTTAGCCAGTTAACAGGCAGCAAAAATGTCACAGATACTACAGTGTAGAATGTCTGGAATCGGGATATGATATCACGAGCCTGACGCTTCAAAATATACTGAATATATGAACAAAATAAACGTTTGATAACTGCCCCATTGCTTTCCTCCAAGATGAATAAGGGAGTACTGTATATGTCGCTGGCCTAAATAGATGAACAAAGATGCAAGATTGTTGACACAACATTGTGTGCCTTTCTGTATGACATCAGAAAAAAGGCCAACGAAAAGCTAAACATACTTGTTTAAGATGTTTACTGAGATCAAATCTCATGAAATTTGATGACATCTTGTTTTAATCATTCTCAATTTTCTAGAAAATGTGGATCCAGTGTTGACATTTATGACTACGAAAGCATTTGATTTTGAATATCCCATTGCATCTTTACCGAGCCTTATTGTGGTTCACCTTATTGTTTGTTAAAAGGGTGACTGCGCCAGCCTGGTTTGATTCTTCTTCCTTTTATTTAAAGGGCTCAAACATGGCTCTATCATTCCTTTTGGTCTTGGCAGCAACAGTGATTCTTATCAGACCGGAGACACCCGTAACCAAGGTAGAAAATTAACCAGTCCAATGTACTTCGTTCAGCTTTAGCCAAGTTTCTCACCATTAACCTCGTTGTCTGTCCACAGGCTCTACGTCATAACTCACTTGAGTGCTGCAGTGACAAACAGAGGACAAATAGCTCGTGTTCAAATGATACTCATTGCGAACCAGGTACCATGTTCTTGTTTGAGGCCGCCAACAGATGTGTAAGCATGTGTTTGAGGTTTTATTGTTTTCTGGCTATCCTACCATTTTGGGGGGGGGAAACAGATTAAAAGTAGAACTGATTAAAAAAAAAAAGGAACAATAAAACAAGTGGTGCACACGTGCCAGGGTGTACAATGATATCGGATTCACATTAACTATTGTGTATAAATAACATTTTTTGGAATTTACTTTTAAACCATGATGGTTCGAAATACAGTCACTGAAGCTGCGGCCAATAAAGATAAGAAAGAAGCAATAAAAATGCCAAGCTGATGAATGTACATGCCAGACGCAGAATTGTGTGACTTTTAGTTTGTTTGTTCAAGCTCAGGACATGTTATCACAACATGAAAGGTGTCCTGACTGGTCCACCAATTTTACAGACCTTTATAGGTCATCAAGTGTTGCTATGGCAATAATAGCGAACATACTTCCCCCTGTTAAAGATCCGTGTATTATGTCAGTGATATTCAACAGGTATCCTAATGCCAAATGAATCCGCATTTTCGTGTTGATGGGCCTTTGAATGGGAAAATGTGCTCATATCATGTGATTTCTGTAGGCTGCTTCTTCCGTGTCCTCGAGGGCAGCAACACTGTTTGCATATTGTGTGAGCCTGCCGCCATAGACTCGGAGAATGTAACGAGCTGCACCTACAGTAAGCCATTTTGAGTATTCGTGTGGTTTCTTTAGATCAGTAAAACTATCTAATAGGGTTGTTTAATTAACTGTACCTTTTTGTCTTCGCCGTTAAGACTACACGATGGACAGGAGAAACCATACAACGGTCACAACTGTAATGCCTAAAATTGGTAAGTTATGTATTCATCTCCTGTGCTGCCGTTTCCTTCTGCTTGAATGTGCACCAATTCCCTTTGTCTACTTCAGTATTCCCCTTTAAATGTTCCAGTGAAGAACAGAATGATCGATTGTCAATTCCCAATGCATTACCTGAAGGTATATCACAAATACTAACTTTTATTTATTCTTGCGTTGAACAATAATTGTGAAAAATAGTATATTGTAATCCTAATTCAGTTGTTTGCTTCTCACACAATCGCCTTTGGATGGGCTCATTTCTCCTATGAAACAGTCAGTAGTTGCCATCTCCACAGCAAGCATTTTGTGTTGCTTTTAAAAAATAACCAATTCATTTAAAAACTTTAACTCTGAATAAAATGTGCTATTTTACCAAGCCAATGCATTCAAACACACGGCAAAGGGCCATGCTGAGCTTGAGCGTGACATACTCTGAATGAAACGTTATCTAGAAAGCCGTCCTTGAGGGGCGTTTAAGATGGTTGTGTTGACACCAGCCAGCTGTGTCTTTTTTTATGCTGCCATACAAAGAGCCCAACTCACAGAAATCACTTTCAAGTGCCTCCTTTTCAAATGCGGTCATAGGAGCGAGCTCACAGAACTACCAAACAGAATATAATCAAAGAGTATTTAATTATTTTAGGTGGAAAAAAAAACACCATCCGAGATTGAAGAAACTTTTCTTCAGCAAAGCTCTTCTAACTGTCCTGTGCTTAATCTTTCTGGTGAATCAAAACTGGTTACGAATACAATTCCTATTTATTTTTTTAAGCAACAAACTGTACTGCCGGTTCATTGTTATTCCGTGTGCCGTCTGTGAGCAGGTGGCGCAGGCGTGGCCGTCTCCCTGCTTTTTGGAACGCTGTTGATCAGCCTGTTCTTGATCCTCTCTGTTGCCTCCTTCTTCTACCTCAAGCGCTCCCATCGACTTCCAAATATCTTCTACCGTCGCAACAAGGGTAAGCCCGTTCGCACTGTCGCAGTTGTACACCGCATCAGCGTTCCAATTTTCACACAGGGTTCCAAATCACTCATGGCAACTGTTCGGCATTCAGAATGAGTGTGGTTTCATTGACACCAAAAGATACCCCGAGTTCAAAATTAGACCAGTAGTACGATACAATATAAGCTCTGTGTAGATGGAGAATGGAAAACGTTTTATATAAAGTCATCTTTCCTTCCAGTATAGAATAACTTTTTAAAAAATGGTTTCACAACACATTCAATCTTATTTGAGAATTAAACGGAAAGAAATATCTGCAATAATATGTTGTATGTACCCCCACTGGTCTTAATTCATTTTTATTTGCGTTTGTTGAACATGAATTAAGCAGATTAATTAATTTCAGGAGCCACCGTTTTTGGCTAATACCGCCCTCTGCTGTTGACTGAAATTAATGTCAAACGGCTCTCGGGGTCACATGACGTTTGCGTTGCCAAAATGGCAGCGCCCTGAGCTGGATGAAAGTGGATCGATTAATCTGCTTAATTCTTATCCCATGAATGCAAAATGAATGTGAATGCTGTGTTTGGACTAGTGGGGGCACATGCAACATATTCTTGTGAAGAAAGTGTCTGCTTTTTTTAACAGAAAAAAAAATTATGACAAGCATAAAATGTATAGAAAGTCCTGCACATATTGTTGCGCGTGTCTATCAGGGTGCCGCGTGTCATCTGCCAATGCGCATATGAGTGTCTAGGTGTGAGCTGTGGTCGGCAGCAGTTTTATTCAATAAATGGCGAAATAGTCAATGGTAACTGTGGCTCTCCTTTCCCACATTTGAGGGTTATTATAGAAATTATGCTGAGAAAAAAGATCGCATTGTCACGCCATTGCGCATATTGGGTGATTGCTCGCTGTTTGGAACCTGAAAAGGTCGCCTCGGAGCCCCTTTAAAGTATTGCGAGAGTTTAAGATTAGTGACAGCATTTATTTGCATTCATACCCATTTTAGTGAGAATTCCAATTTGTATATATATTTTTTGTGTGACATACAGTAAAAGCAAAAGTCATAAATCAATTGATCTTACGTTCTGTCCTCTTACAGCCTTTATATTCCAACCAAGTGAGACGGTAAGTTTGCTTCATTTATGCAAAACCTAATTAGGCATTTTGATTCATACACACACACACACGCAATGTGTCGCTATGGTAATTATTTATTTATTTTTATTCTTCTAGGCTGTGATGATTCCTTCCTCTACAGGTAAGCTAACCTTTTACTCAACATCACTGCCAAACAGGTTATACTGTACCGAACAACGGCAATCGAGCCTCGTTGCAGCCTGTCGCAAGTACTTTGTAATTGTTTTTTTTTTTTTCCGTTTGAAGCGAGAAAGCAACGATACGTCAGACGGGAGCGTCCCCCTGCCACATCAAGTAGCAACATCACACCCACCGCATCCACCACGAGGGTCTACAACGTTTAGAAGGAACGAGCCAACGTGAGAGTTTGTCATCGAAAGATGTCACGTTTTGACTTCTTGGGAGCCAAATTTGTACTGGAGCTGTTTTTATTCCATGTTGCCTCATGACGAAATAGTGTCCGTTGTCACACTCCTTCCGTGAAATGAGGCGCATACAAAATGAGTAGCATCATTGGTCCGCTTTTATTCTAAGCCGTGCTAGTTTTTGTCACGCTCGATTTTGACGTTTTTATTCGTAATTGCTGCAGTGCCACATGTGTATGTACTATTATTTAAGTTAACCCTTTTGGGGGGAGTTGGGGGGGCAATATTTGTATATCTTCAAAATACATGTATACTGCAGTAGCTGAGAAGCAAGACATCTCAATCATTCCAAAACAACTTCCACGATCGTCACTGTATCGGTCGCATTTTTTTTTTTTTCTTCATGATCGCAACGACATTGTGACATTGACGTTACAGTAATCGCTTTCACATGACACATATGAGGCGTCCCCGATGAAACAGCCAAGCGACAGATTGGATTTGTGTGTATTCATCAGTTTGAGGGCTCATGTGCAGCGAGCCAGTGACCTCGTTGGCTGATGGTGACAAAGCATCATCATCGTAAAAGCCCAGTGACATCTGGGCTATTCTTTCGAGGTGTGTGTGCGTGTGCGTGTGTGTGTGTGTGTGTGTGTGTGTGTGTGTGTGTTTACACTGTAGTTTGGTTTGCAGTACTCTACTTTGCTATCTTTGACCACATGAGTGACATTTTTTTTGTATTTATTATTTGTATCCAAACTGAATGTATTTTCCTCATACAAGCCAGACATCACAGTTCGGTGTGTATGCGCAGTGTCGCAGAAAATAATTTTAATCATGGTCTAATTTTTGAACTGGCGGTATCTTTTAGCTGGAAATTAAACAGGAAAATTGCTGAAGACTGTGAGATCATTTGCAAAGAAAAACAAATAGTTCCATGTTCCGAATGAGTCGCACGCCCTTTGAATCCAATGTTCTGAATGGTTAATTCAAATGCTTAGCCTAACATCGCGCATTAAAATGTTGCCAAGATAACCAATAGTATTTTAAAAATGTAACGTTAACATATATTTTGCCGCCTTTGTTATTGTCCTATTCAGAAGACGCACATTCGACAAATAAAAGGAAACAGCTCACTGCCAATTAGCAAAATATGAATAATTCTGGGCTTACGATCCATACATTTAAAAAAATTTTTTTAAAAAGAAACAATTATTTTAACTCAGAGAATTCTCTTTCACAGAGAAAGACCCCCCAACGTAGAATGAAGAAAATGTTTGATGTAGAATAACAAAGTCTTAGTGCACTTTATCAGCAAATGTCAGGCCAGTTTTTTTTTTTTAAATCAAGATGCTTCAGGAGAAGATGTTGCTAACTTTTTTGTTAAATTGTATATTTATAGATACTCTTCATTATTAAATCCAGCATATACTTGTTTGCCAAAAGTTATCGAACAAATCGATTGCGATGACGACTGTGCCATGAAGAGCTTTAAATGTTGGATTCGTAGTTCATGCATTTATCCTATCCGGTGGCCTTTTGCTTTCTGCACCACCTTCAAAATAAGGCTGCTCTGCAAGTTTCATTCATGACATGTTCACATTTTGAATAGACTTGAGGTTTGAACGCGCACATGTGACGCAAGCTGAACTAAATAAATCACTTTAGAAACAAGAAGCGGTCACATGACTCGCCATGTCGCCTCGTGTGTTTGACAATTGTGAGCGCAATACATGCACACGTTGTTTTATACAAATGATCTATTGTTTTGTTACCGTCTACTCGTGACGCGTGGAGCACGGCTGTGGCGGCGAGATGAATGTTTGCGAGAAATAAAGCACCTTCCAGGAAGCCTTGTCTTTGTCCAACTGCTTGTGTGCTTACTCTTGTGTACTGTTAGTTCAGAGAGAGGAGTGATTTAATTCTTTGCATACTTTTATTCTCCACTGATTCTAACTGACCGGAGAGTTAGCCTTGAAGTAAAACAATCCTTATCTTAAGGGAAAAAGTCATTTTGGCAAGTCAACGTTTGCACAACTGCAATAAAATGTTCATGCTGTTGATGTGACAAAACTGTCCTCGTTTTAATCCGGCTGCATGAATACGTTTGGAAATTAATCTTGTATGATGACATTTCTCTGACAAATTAGGATGTATTCTTAAATTACTTTGATATTTTTTTTCTCAGAGATTGTTAATTGATTTGTGCATGCAAAAAAAATGCAAACATTTTTGGTGGAGATGTTGGATACCACTTTTTGACTGATAACAGTAAGTATGCAAATCTTGAGTACTCACCATTATGATATCAAGTAACCAACACCATTAGTACTTTTGATACATAAAATTTCTATTAATCATTTTAATGAAAAATACCTTTATTTCTGACAAAGGTTTGAACAGCCATTCTGCAATACAGAATTTAAATTCAGAATAAAACAACTCACTCTGATTTAGGATTCGTTTGTAATAAACCAAAGTGCAAAATAAAACAACTCCGAATTTTAGTCTTTGTTCCAAATGAATTAAAATGCCAATTAATACAGGTTCAACTTAACTGTCAAACATGACACGCTGCCATTTGGAAATAGGGCTTTGCAATACAGCTGAAACAATGAAGTATTTATCATCAGGCAATTTGGATTTTTTTTTTAAAAAACCGATACAAAATAAGAAAAACAGGACATGGATAACAGATAAAATACAACTATTTCGGAGGAAAAATACAATTCACACTCACCACGAGTGCTCTTGACGTCCTGATCGTCGAACGGCCACAAGAGGGCACCAATGACTGGTATCGACAACAGCCGCCAGCCTCGATACCTTCAAAGAAGGAAGGTATCGGCCATTACTGATTCCTGGTTTTGGTGCAAGCCCATTCCTAGTTTTGGGGGGAATTACTTAGTACAACTCAAACATAATACAGTGGAACAGTTGCATTTTGAAAGGCAATATTCATTGTTTAACCCTTTCAGGAACAGCGGTTACTACAGTGGACAGATTATCCTGTTATCCGGTTACAGGGTGCATAAAAGGGTTAAAACAGTTGACACTATGTGTATAATATTACAAAAATGTAATTTATAGCTTATCAACTTTGTTATGCTGGTTCCAGCGTCACAGTCAATACAAGTAGCTGCATGTAGACGCTTTTCATTTGCTCTTTCAAATTACATCTTAGAGGACGGCGGTTGAACGTTTTGAGTTTCGTTTTGGCTCATCATGTAAATAGTGAAGTATAATATCCCTGCTCAATGTCATATGATTGAAGGAACTGAAATGTTACACCTCTGCTCATAGAGGGCAGGACAAGTTCACCAGCAGCAGCAACATGTGACCGAACATAGTCTATTTATAAAGAGCGGTCCAGGGCACCGACCGGTGTGACATATGTGAGATTGCCAGACAACGGGACATTTTCCTGCAGGAGACTTCAGACCGGAACGTTTGTGCTTGTCTTCTTGCAGGTATGTTTTCTAGATAGTGAATTCAATCAAGCACGACGAGACAAATGGAATTGGAGATGACTAACAGAGAATGTGGTGAATACTAACTAACGAATGTGTGCCTTTAGAATTAAAATAAGTCACCTGTTGAGTACTTTGTGGTCAAATTGGTCCATGCAGTGCTGTAAAATGTATCAAATATTTTGCCCCTATTTGTACTAATTAATGTTGTGACTGGAATAAGCCCCATATTGCACGACTTGAGAGGTCTTAAATCTTTACCTGATACAATATTGTCTACAGCTTTACAAGTGCCCTATATTTAGCACAAACATGTCGCAGCCCAGACAGTTCAATGCTATCAAGAGGACAAATGGGCAACCAAAACACTTACAGAATGACCTTTGCGTCGCCATTTCTACTCCCAGGAAAGCATGTGAGCTGTTGGAATGGATGACTTGGATCACAGCATGCGCATCGCCGAGGAGGTCTGGTCCAACTTCTGCCAGGAGAGCGAGGAGTGCTGTGTGCCGCAACCTCTGCTCGCCTGTCCCGAGGGCCTCCGTTGTTCCGACCGCTCGGTTCCAGCCACTCAGTCGCCACAGAGCTTAGAAGAAAATAGAACAACTTGTGTTAAACTGGAGCTCATTCAGGATGTCATAGAAGAGGATACAGCTGAGGATAATAAAGCCCAAATATGTAATGATACAGGAATTCCTTTTCTCAGTCAGGAGGTGCACGTAACAGAGGAACGCATCCCCGAAGAGACCCAAAAAAGCATCGTACAGACACCGGAGGTCAATGACGTCGCTCGGTCACTGCCGACTGAGCGTGAAACAAAAGTGAGATGTCTGGCTCAGGCTGGCAGCGAATTTCCTCCGAGAGAGGAGAAGGAGCGCTGGTTTGTGACGCTGTTGTTGAATGACAGTCCAGTGTCGCGCCGGGCCAGTGCAACTCCAAGGAAAAAAAAAGCTCAACTTAAAAAAAAATGGTGCAGACCCAGGCGGGAGCCTCAACACAATGAAAGTGCGGTGAATAAAAATATCAACGCGACACCAAATCAAAACAGAAGCGAAGAACGAGTCGGGCAGAAAACCTCTTGTGGTTCAGTCCAAAACATTTGTATGGAAACCAGGCATGATGGCGATATAGAACGAAACGACAGAAAAAGACCTCTGCGCGGTGAAGATATAACGCAAGACCGTGAAGACGGAACCATACAAGATATTCAACAAAACCGCCAAGAAAGAACCCTGCATGTCGATATAGTCCAAAGCAAGAAAGACGAAACCTTGTATGATGGCGATAGAACGACACATCAAGATGACAGCATGCGGCAAGACAAAATAGAAGCGACCCTGAATGGTGATGAAAGAACGCAAACCAAGAGCAAAAGGGCCTTCTGCGTAGATCACACCACACGGCAAGACAATGTCGAAGAACGCCTACAAGGTGACGATATGGCGCAAAACAACAAAGAAGGGGCCTTACATGATGACGGCGCGCTGCAAAACGATACCGAAGGCACCCCGCATGATATTTTTCATTTGGAGAGGGTGGACTCAGATGAGTTTGTGGACAGTGTTGAATTCTTCACCTTTCCCAGTTCTGGTTCTGAAATCTATCTTTCAGCTTCTGAATCAGTGGCTCAGGATCTCTTTGAGGAGGATTCCGTTGAAAATCAACCAAGAGAGTTCCCGTCCTACACCTCATCATCATTATTATTATTACCACACAACTGTGATCCAATTCAAAGTTCTGGTGCTAGGAGTCTGCAAGCCAAAGAATCAGACGACAACGGTGGAGGTTCTGATAAAGTTTTTGTTGAGCCCACATGGGCGTTTTCACCATTGACGAGCCAAAGAGGTGCCACACCTCCAGCTGAGAGCTCCACCCATCAGAAAGCAGATCTGCCACGAGTCCAAACAGAACCTCACCTGACAGCATGCGGTGTCGACGGTCCTCGGTCGGTTCCTGATGTCATCATCACCCCCGTGGCCGACGGCCCCGAAGCGTACGCCCAGGCTGCGGGCCGCGCGCCGTGCGTCTTCGCCATCTCGGCCTTCTGGGACGAAATGGAAAAATTAACCATCAATGATATTTTACAGCTGAGGATGGCGAGAAGCCCGCCTTCCACGGAGACGTCCGATGTCCCGTCACAAAGCGGTTCCCTTGTGGACCCCGACGAGCTTCATTTGACAGACGGAGGCCTCACGGATGTGTCCGACGCCGCTGACTCGGACTATTTCACACAGCCAGACGACTCCAAGGTGGACAGATCCAGTTGGGATTTCTCTGTGTGTGACTTTGAAGATGACTACTGGCAATTTTTGGGCATGAGTAGGAACGCCAGTCCTGATCTGAGCTGCAAAACCCAACGGGAGGAAGAGGAAGAGGAAAGGTCAACCGGAATCCAGACCCCAGTACCAGTCGAAGACTCCGCAAGACAAAACCCAATGCCCAGAGCGATGATGAAAAACAAAAGTGTGCAGAATATACGAGCTCTCAACACGGATGATTTATCTTTGCAGTCACATTTACACAATGATGAGAAGAAGTCCAAGAGAGACAGTCTGGGGTCAATCGTAGCAGCACCTCTCCAAGGAGACGATCTGGAATTTTCCCCAGAATCCTTCATCACAGAGGAAACGGGAAACAGGAATGTCATTTTTGTCTATGATCCAGAAGGGACCTCACATGCTCCAGGATATAATGATATGATTTGCACATGTGAGCATAAAATGTTCTTACCAACTCAGAGCCATAATTGGAAACCCATCCCGATTTTCTCCTGCTCACATCCGACCGTCAGAGAACTCCCGCTCCTCAAAAGGAATGATCCATTTTTCAGCGTAGACTTCTTGGAAGAGGACGTTATTTCGCCTGTGCGAATTGTCTCGCGTGCTCTCCGGGTAGCTGAATCTCAAAGTGGGAGGAGCTTACTGCCATTCGGTAAAATCCGCTTCCAAGACAAAGGCAGCATCTGGTACAGAAGGTCTGATGGGTGGGAACTGCCGACCCAAAGTGAGGAGGGCGGTGTGGTTGTTCCCACGGTGGGAGGAGTTTCCCTTCAAGCAATTGAGCAGCAGAGGATCGTGGGAACAATACAGAGACCAGGTAATCATCGCAGGTGAGAAAATGAACGTCGGGAAAATTAACGACATCGATGAATGTTTCCTCTAGTGCGAGTGGGCGTCTTGTCTGCGCTGCAGCAGTCTGACATGTGTTTGGTCTGCATCGCATTTGCCTCCTGGGTACTGGCATCATCAGATCCAGAGTCTGCTGATGCCTGGAAAGCAGGTAGGAGACACTTCATTAGGTACACATACTCAAGTCTTACGAGAGCTGTCTCCAGGGGTGGCAAACACAGGTCCAGAAAGTAAAAACAGTGCTCCAGTTTGGCTTTAGCACACTCAAATGTTTTTAGCTCACAGGCACTCATCGATGACGTGACATCACTTTGAGCATCATCGAGCTAATATCTGTCAGACAGAGTGAAGGCTATGAGATCTCAGACCGAAATGCATCAGTTCCACAATACAAAGAAATTAAAGAACACATTGAGAAAAAAAAAGAGGATAAGCGATTTGGGTAATGGCTGGATGGATGTAAAACAAAGTGATTGAAATCAGTTGTTACTGTCAAAAGGTATGGATTTTTTTCCCCTAAAATGCATCTTATATTTTATATGATTGTCTTTGTGAGATATTCAAATTGGTTTGACGATCGGAGACTTGAAGTATGATACATGGGGCGGGTCTGAAATGAGGAAAGGGGCAACTATTTTTCCGTGGCATTCTACATCTTATATCTGCGCATCGAAAATAATCAAATGTGCAATCTCTTTTCTAGCTGTGCTTGCAAACGTGAGCGCGCTATCAGCAATCCAGTACCTGCGACAGACCAAGTGATGATGAAGAATCCTCAGCATGGCAATACGTTATGTAATTACAGTCATGTCATTTCCAGTCAGTTACACACGGGTCCATCCATAAAAAATGTATTTATTCCACTTAATGTTCAATAAAAATAGCGTGACAGCATTTCAAGGTTAACAGCATTTTGAAACTAGACACCAAAAATCTTATTATGATGTTGGCAATTTAAAGAATTATGACCAGTTCCAAAGTTTGAATTATGATTGGCTGGGTATGTGAAAAAAAACGAGGGTGAATATATATATTTTTTGTGTGTCGTTTCATGTGACGAAAGCAAGTTTAGTCTGCAATTTGCACAATACTTCCCATTAGCCAAGTAAGCCGTTCATAATACCTGGACCATTACTGAGGAGCTGTAGACACGCTTAGCGATGGCAGCAGATTGTAGCTTTCATGACAAGCAGGGTCGCTCAGTCGAAAACGGATTGAATGATGGAAGCCTGAAAGTCTGAAAGATACTGTAAACAAAAGAGTATATTTTTGAAAAATAAAATGAAACAAATGTGAATGAGAGTCTGTGTTTAATATTGTCATCTTCGTCTTTCCTTGATACAGAAATGGTACATACCGGTACTATACTTAACACGGCATATTTAAACAGTTCATTTCCATCAGTTCATTCATTCTTCCATTTTCTACCACTTTTGCTGTATGGGGCCATGGGTGCGCTGGAGCTTAATCCCAGCTGATATTTGGCAAAATTGACACCCTGGATAGGTCACAAATCAGATCCAGATGCAGATAAATATCCGTTCCACACTCACATTTTGGACAATTTTTATTCTTCGACAAACCCGAAATCAATCTTTGGAATGCTGGAGGAAGCCAGAGTACCTGGACGAAACACACGTAGGAACATAAAGAACATGCAACCTCCACACAAAACAAATCAACAGTGAAGTAGATGCATCAACCGCAAGCTGCATCTATCAATACAGTAGCATATTTTTTTATGCATGTACAGTGAGATAGCCTTTTGCATATTCGCAATTCTGCATTCACAAATTCAAATATGGTATTTGTAGATTTTTTTTTTAACCTATCCTCCATTGGTCATTAATTCACTTTTTATTTTAATTTTTTCCCGCTTAGACCAATACAATTATTGCTTTGCCGCCATCTTGAAGTGAAGGAACTGTTGAGCTGCTTTTCAACAAAATGAGTGCTTTGCCACAATCTTGGTACCAAGGAACTATTTTGAAGTGAGTTGAGGAGTTTCATTTCGACATAAGTGCTGCTTTGCTGGCATTTTGTGACATCTTGGTGCCATTTTGAAACCAACCAAGGAACTATGTTGTATTTACATAGTTCCTTGGTTTCATTTCCACGAAATTAGTGGTTTGCCACCACCGTCTTGTGGTATCTTGGAACGATGTGAAAATGAGTTGAGGAGCTACATTCATACAGAAATATTGCTTTGCCGCCTTTTTTGTGGCAAGGCATTGTGTCGAAATGAGTTGAGGAGGCTCATTTGAACAAAAAGTATTGCTTTGCCGCATTCTTTGTGCCAACAAACTGTATTGAAGGAACTGTCAAAGTGAATTGAGGAACTTCATTTAGACAAAGTAGAACTTTGCCACCATCCTGGTGCCAAGGAACTGCTGACATGAGTTGAGGAACTTCACTTAGGGTAATGTGCTGCCTTGTCACTATATTGGTGCCAAGGAACTATGTTAAAGTGAGCTGAGGAGCTTCATTGAGACATACTGACACTTTTCTCCCACCTTGTGATATCTCTGTGTCAAGGGACCTTGTTGAAGTGAGTTAAAGGGCTTCATTTAGACAAAATGAACCCTTGACAAAATTAATCGAATCTCATTGTAGTGGAAAACTGGCAGTGAAAGGACTCAATCGGACACACAACTCGAGTTGAGTGATTTGTACTTACACTTGTTTTATTTCCAAATAAAAAAACGCTTCAGATTGCAAGGTGTCACTGCAGAATATTTATTGAAATAAATATGCAATGAACAAACTTTATTGGATACACATAAATATGAAATTTTGAGGCCTTTTTTTTTTTTTAATTGTCAATCTTTAGTTTGTCTCCAATTCTCTTGTTTTTATCAAACAAATGCGTTAATTTCCACGAAAAACCTGCGGGGCACAGATCCTGTTCCAATTAATAATTGTCAATTATACATTATATAGTGTTAGAGTTTCAGGTTTCCTGTTCAAACAAGGGTTACACCTACAACTAATGGTACTCATTCATATAGAATATTGTGAACATTTAATATTTACAGGCTCAAAAAGGAGTGAATAAAGCTTAGGTCATACTGTGAAAAGATATCTTGGATATATAAAACTTTAGGATTTAGACAAATATTTAGCATAATTCGAGTCAAACCAAACCTCTACTATTCGTTTTTAAGTCTAAACAAGACGATGCCACTTGCTACTCTAGTTTGAGTCATGCTCGGTCGTTAACACTCATTCAAACACTGGTTTAAATGCAATTCTGTACAAGCAATCATCATCTATACACGACAATATATTTCAAGGACACACCAAAGTCTGTTTCCAAATCTTCCAAAGGCTGTTTTAGCAAAGTTGTGTTGCATATGAAACTGTTGGAACAGTAAGTTGGTGAAAGTCCATCACTTTTGAAATCGCACGTGAATATCTGAGAAATTGTTCCGAAAACAATTTTAGTCTCGTGAAAAACTTCGGGCAGACTTTAGCGGGCCTGTGAAGTGCTGAAATAGGAATGCGCATAACGATACACAAATAGGTTGTAAAATATATGAAAACAAAGACACACGAGTACTCTCTTACAGTATTCTACTGGGTGTACAGGCTTTTAGACGACGAATGCGCCACACTGATCTCACGATGGCTTGTCACCTTCTTTCTTCAGACGGCTGTGCACAAACAGGAAAATAACGTGAAGGAATGTTAATGTGAATCACACAGTGCCTTGATTTATGGATTGCGCAGTTTTTTTGTTTGATTTTTTTTAAGTTACGACTGGTCACTTGGTCAATGTTTTTGCTTTGTTTGACGCAACAATATTTAATGTACAAGCGAACTTTCGCAACGCTGCTGTCAAGTGACCCTGCCCTCGCTTGTGGGCAAGGAGAACTACAGTTGCCAATGCACTTTAGTCAACAGCCAAACAATCAATCACCATCTCCGTTGAGGCCTATGATGGTAAGGCAGCGTTGGAACTCCAAGCCCCAAGCTGTGACCCCTTTTTCTCCAGCTTCTCTACATAAAGGTGGTGACATCATAAATCGGCCACAACACCCGAGGTTGCAGACCAAACTGCAAGCAACAAGTTTTCACCTTCCCGGGTAGTTGGGTGTGGTCAATAAACCGCAAGCCACCATTGACGTCCTTGTAGTTGCAAGCGTGGCACGGTCATGTGACTGATAGCGTCCTCATTTCAATGTTAATATCTCAAATGTTCATTCAGATTTCGATACGATGAAGCCCTCATTGGTATAGTTGTTTTGTTTTTTGGAGCGGGGGTCACGCTATGAAATCCACTCATAACGGCACTGGAATAAAAGGAACTAACGAAAGGTACATTTAACATCGCAGCTCAAGTGACTGCTTCCATGCACCTGAGTTAAGTTTGGATAAACTTTTCAAACAGTTTAGTTTGGGTTTTTTTTTAAATAAATATTTATTGACTAATTGAGCACTTTTATGGCCATTTTTAGGACCCGCCCCCCCCAAAAATAATTGTGGACTGTACTAGATGTTTTTAGGCCACAAAAAAAATCAATATGACAGACTATCGCCTCTAATGGACGACCTCAACCCTCAATTAGTCCATTAAATCGAAGTTCCAATGTACGAGTAAATGTGTCAAGGTACCACTGTATGTATATCTTCTTCAAGAGTTTTAAAGGATTTAGTGTCCGCACCTGTAATAATCTTCCTGGCTGGGCAGGGGGCCTCCATGCAGGTGATGGCCGTGCAGCCACTGCTGCTCCATGGCCATCCTCTGCAGCTCTGCTGACTGAACATGCATGGCCTGGAGCTGGTGCGCGGCTGACATCTGAGGAATTGGACCCTGCAGCTCTCGGGGATAGGCAGCCCCTACAGAGTGCACAAAGACCACAATAAGGAAGCAGTCCAGTGTTCTGCACCCGTCTAAATGGAGGGAAAGCAATGAAAATTGAAACAGTCTTGACAATTGCGTGCAAGCGATTCTTGATTGAAAACATCTTGAAGCATGGAGGCTAAAAGTGTGCTACCAAAAAAAGGGTAAGGTGGCTAACCTGGTATCTTGTTACTGCAGAAAAGCACCCTCTACCTCAGAATTTTAATATAAAGTGAGTTTTTTATGCATGTGGCTCATGCCCCGGCAGTGAATCTTTTATAGTGGAACCTAATATTAACCCCATATTTAATTACCCATCCATCCATTTTCTACACCACTTACCCTTATTTGGGTCACAAGTGAGCCAAAGCCTAATCCATCTGACTTTGGATAAAAGGTAGGGTACCCCCTTCCCTGATTACCAGTCAATCACAGGGCACGTATAGACAATCATTCACACCCACGGGGAGTTTAAAGTCTTCAGTTAAGCTACAATGCATGTTTTTAAAATGTAGAAGGTCACCAGAGTACCTGTAGAAAAGTCACGCAAGCACAGTGGCAACATATCAACTCCACACAGGCAGGTCTGAGCTGAGATTAGAACACAGAACATTAGAATTGGGAAACAGATGTGCTAACCACTCCATACTATGCTGTCCTGTATTTTTAAAAAAAGGGTTTCACGGGGCACCCAGACTCGGAGTGTGACCCAAAAGACGTACCGAACAAAGGGTGGCGCAGCATCTCATGGTCATGTGGAAGGTCAGCTAGCAGAGGATTGGGGATAGGGCCTCCGGGGAAGGGGAAGCGAGCCAGACGTGGTCCATTTGCCAGGGGGTCCACCAGAGGATGAGGGCTTGAACCTGTGTGAATGAACATGAACATGCGTTGTGATTCGGGTCGCACTGCCAAAAACATGCCTCAAAAGGTTTAGTCCCGCCCCTCCGCATTTCCTTCTCACGCAGGTAAACCCGGGAATGAGGTGCATAACATCAAAGCTTCTGCCAGCTGGAAATACATTTGACATAACGGCGAAACGGTCAAAGTAGTCACCTTGACCGAGAGGGTCCTGTTGGTGCAGGTGGAGGTGAGAGTGGATATGGGAGTGTTGATGATGATGTGGTGTCACGTTGAGCATCTGCAGCCTGGCTGCGGGATCCGGCGCCACGGAGGCCATCCTCTCAGCGTGCAGCCGCTCGGCGGTGAGGCGCTCGGCGTAGCTCAGCTCCGGGCGCAGCTGAGTACCGGCCAGCACCATCCTTTCCCGCTCCAGATGGTTGCGCCCTGGGGGAAAGGTTGCGGTTGGTGGGGGACATGACATGGGGTCGGGCGTACTCGCTCAGGGTGCGGAGGGCTGGTGTATCGGGCCCGATGTAGGGGGGCACGGCAGCGACAGTGGTGGCCGGCTGCTCGTACATGCCCGGGCGCCCGTGAGCGGCCAGCTGAGCCTCGCTCAGGCGACTGTCGTGGGAGGAGCTGCATGCTCGCTGTAAACAAAAGACAATGGAAGAAAAGACTTCATGTTTTGTGTGACAGACGGAGGTAGTCAAAGTACTCCCAGTTTGTGATTAAGTTGAAGTACATAAAGGTAACGGATTCAACTCCTTCACTTGAGTAAACTTTGAAAAAGTGTATACTCTGAAATCTACTCGTACAACGTAAAAAGTCTACTGCATACCTATTCTGATATGGTAGCACAGCGGGGAAAAAATAAATTTCCCTCCTTTACAGTCTTCCAACTGAGGGAGTACAAAAATTCTGTTTTCATTTAAACATGTTCCCAGAGCTTTGCTATATTTGCTAATGAGAAGAACTGACTTACTTACACATAGGGCCCGCCCAATAAAGATTTTTTTGAGGCCAAAGCCAATTTTTATATTTGGCAGAGTAAAATTAAGACAACTGATTGGGGTATCTTGGGAAATGTTTGAATATTATGAATATTGTACTGTGCTGATGTGTTTAAAAAAATTAAATCAAAGTACACATAACCAAAAAAAAAAAAAAAAAACAATCTGCACTGTAGATGTGTTTAGTTAACTTTCACCTAGGTGACAAACTGACACCGCAGAATGAATGCACCATTTTACTCACAGCGTTTCTGTCAGCCTCCCTTTCTCGCTCCCGATCCTTCTCCCGTTCACGCTCTTGCCGAGCGCTGAGTTCCGCCTCTCTCCGAGACTTTTCTAGGGCCTCCTCTCTTTTCTTGGCCAGCTTGGAGGTGGATAGCGGCGTGAAAAACAGGTCTGTCCGAGCGCAGGAGTTGTAGCCACGATCCAAGTGCTTGATGAACCTGATATTGATGACACAGGCAGATTCAGTACTATTGGAGGGTTTTCTTTGGGTGCCACAATTTTTTTACTATATGGATTTTGGCTTTTGCTGCAT